TGTATTTCTTTAATACATTGTTTTAAATCTTCTATTTTTTCTAAATTATAATCCTTTGTTATTTTTTTAATAATTTGTAAATAATCTGTTTTGTTTTCTTTATCTTCGGTAACTGTCTTTATACTATCGTTAGACCGAAGGTCCGCGACGAAGTTATCCTTACGATCCTTCGGATCTGAAAACCGTAGGTCTGTAGGATGTGTAACACGTAGTGGCATCGAAGATGCAGATATATTTTTAGTTACCATCGGAGACGTAGATTTACTTTTAGATAAAAAAATTGTTTATAAGGTCCATTTTATAAATATAAAAATACTAAAAATACCATATTGGGAATTATGTATACCATTTATGTGTCTTATATGGGTAAATTATGTTAATACATGTTAATCTATATCTTATATTATACCAGATTGTTTGGGATTATTTTATTCAAATTTTTATTTCCTTAATATGGTTAAAGTTTTTTATAATAGTTTAGAAATCGAAAACATAAAAGATAAGATTACTATTAAAACATTAAGAAACAAAACATATAATTTTTTCCACGAAAGAAGGAAAATATTCTTATACTTTTCCAACAATGTTTTTACAAAAATATAAAACCCTTTATTACAATTATCTTAATAAAGAATTTATAGAAATGTTATTTACAAGTGTTTTATTTATAAAATCTAGCTTTATGTTTAGATGGTGTGGTTTTAAAAGGACCAGAGATAACATTAAAAGCAATTTTATTTTTAACTTTATCTTCTACCATTAATTTTAACCAATAAGATATAGAATAATTATCTTCTTTAGTAATTCCATCTTTAGTTGTTATTTTTGCTTTAATAATTCCACTTTTCTTTAATAATTTATATCCAACTATATTAATATTATCTCCTTCGTTAACTTCGTCGTCTAATTTTTAGAATCTTTTAATGTTAAATAAGGTAATTCTTTTAATATTAAACTATTTAGTGTTTCTCGTATTTGTTCTGTTTTATTGGTTTTAGCTTCTACAATTTCTACTTTTGCACATTTATTTTTGAAGAAGATGTAAATGTACCGGTTTTACATATTGTTAATATTGGATTACCACTTATAGATCCTCTTGCTATAATTCCATATATATCTAATTTCTTATAATAATTTTGGCCTCTATTTAAATATGTTGTTAAATTAGTAGTAGACCAATAAAAATATAATTCTGTTTCTTCTATTATTATGGGATCTTTAGAACAAGCCAATAAAAGAGTATCTCCAAATATAGATTTTGTTTCTTTAAATCCATAAACATATTATGTTGTGTTATCTTCTAATTCTATAAACTTTTTGGAAAATGCTTTACAGTTCTTAAGAATACCAAATAATTTGTTTCTACACATTTCCATATATTTACTTTGTTCTATCTCTTCTTCTATATCTTTATTTTTAGCTTTTAATTCTTCTATTTTATCTTTATTAACAATATTAAAAGCTTTAATTAATTCTTGTTCTTTAATTTCTTTATTAATTGTTCTTATAGTTAAGTTATCGTCTGGGTAATTAAGTAATTCCATATTAAATTCTTTAAACACTGTGGTATAATTTGTTGTTTTAATTAGAGATATGGTTTTCTTGGATAATTTAAATTTAAACGTCTTATTTGGTAACAATCCAACTTCTTCTGTTGTTTACTAAAAGCATCGTCTTTATAAGTAGCTGTATGTAATTTATCTGAACCAGATGTAACATATGTTTCTAAATCTTTATTATTTGTTGTTACTCTAATATAACTATCTTGTTGTATACTAACTTCTTTATTATCTCTATCTATATTAACTAATATTACAATTATAGGTTTATTACTACAATAATATCTTAATGCATTAGATAATTTAACATTATTACAATCTTTAATATAGAATCCATTAACTTTTCCAGTTAATCTGTTTTGGTAAATAGAAACGAACGCTAACTTTGTTTCTACATCTAAT